AAATTACGTGGATTATGTTTGTGCTCCCCCGTTTCTTGAACGCCCATCGCCCTGAGAAGTGGTAGGAAGAAAAATGGATTTGTCGAAAGCAGGGCGGTGCCTTGCGACGGCTGATGTCGGTAGGATGAAACGTGGGAGCGAATAAAATGATCTATACAGTTTTCCGATAACTTCTTTAAAGTTATCAGCTGCCGGCCACGTAGACGTACTTGAAATTCAATTACCGAAGCTTCGAAATCGAGTTTCGGGTAAACGAATGCACCCTCACGCACCCTCACGCACCCCAAACACGCGTACGCAAATACGGCTGCGAGGCAATACGTCGTTCGCCAGCAGACGCGCTGCTACAAATGGGATTTCCCGTTTTGTATAACGCTGGCAAAGAAACGCGGAGGAGGGAAATCTGTGAGAGTACGAGGGAAAATAGGGAGCATGCGTTCTCCCTGTGCTTCGCTTTGAAAATCGAAAATCGTGCAAAACGTTAAAGAAATTAAGGGCAGAGACGAGGCCCTTGTAGTGGGCGGTCTAATTCAAATGTATGGAAATCCGACGTGTCCCTTGCGAAACCGCGTTTAAATACACGTCGGAAAGTTCCTTAAAAAACAGCTACGCTTGGTTAGCTGACTGAACGTTTTCACACTTTGTCGAATCAATATTAGAAAGGTGTTTGAACCAGAAGGCGGTCAATGTTCCGTTAGTTCTCGTTGCTTTCGACGCTCATCCTTCTGGAAATATGTATTCAAAGGCCGAGACTTTTTAATCTCTTACATTGCATGCGCTGCATCTCGACAAAAGTGACAACAACAACCGGTATAATTTTCATCGCAGATACGGAGCTTTTGAAAGGAACGCGAGAGGAACGCCAGAGGAACGGTGCCCGCTCTTTCTTTTACACGTCCGGAATTTTCTAAAATTTGTAATAAGAGTGCGGAGATAAAAGTGCACGAGTATTACTCGTCGAAGCAAGGAGGGACTTGAAGAGTGGGGTCGAATTCGACGAAATTTCGTCTCTCTCCCCTTTCCTCGAGTATTGTTTTACCGCGGCAATATCCCTTCGACCGCTAACTCTTGAGCATTCCACCGCGAAGCGTTTTCTTCTCGTGTGCAACCCCCGGCAGACACCGGCGCGTTATCGACCGGTGGCGGGAATTTCCTTTTTTTTCCAGGTTCGATGTGCAGCAAAGATTCGACTAGATTTCGATCCCCCGGCTCCCTTTTCTCTCGAGAAACTGAAAGGAGGGAGGAATCGTATGGTTCCAATAGAGGGTGAGCGAAAAGCTTTCTCTCTCTCTGAGGGGATGCGTCGTCGCTACCGGCTTCCGAAAAGGGAGAGTAGTCAGACAATTTCCTCTATCGCGTCGACACTCGCACTTCTCTTGATTTCTGTATTACGCGGCTCGATGTTCCTTTCGTGGTTGTTTCGTCATTTGTCCAACGATATCTCCCTCGTGTTACGGAGTCGTGCTTACGCGACACTCTTTTTTTTTTCCGCCTGATCTTTGAAATGGACGTAATGCACGGGGGAGAATCGAGCGTACACGGGTGTCTGAACCACACGTCAACGAATCCCACGTCTACCGGGAGAACGGGGAAAATACGACAAGCGATGTAATATCCCGTGCACAGATTTTAAAAAGCAGACTCGCGCTCCCCCGTCGTTCGAGCGGCTCGTGGAAACGGTTAGGTAGGATTAAAGAAAGGCCACTGGTGTTTTCCAGCGATTTCGTTCTATCGATCCTCTACCTTTTCCGAATACTATTTCCAAAGTCCTTTTTTTCTCGTGAAATGTTTCCTTCGGAGAATCAAGACTGGCTCTCGTTACAGCGCATTTTTTCTTCTTTCCGTTCAGCGAACTAAAAGTCATCCAAGGCATGGAACGTTGCACACCCCCGGTGCGGCGCGACGCGGCGCGACGCGGCGGAAACAAGGAAAATTCGAATGAAATCCGAGTGAAATCGTTCTTATTAGCATTTTTAAGGAGAAGTGGGTATGCACCGCGTTCCTTGTCAAAACGTCCCTACCGGTTGACGCGTGCTTTCAATGACATCCACTAGAAACCCTCCAGCGTGTCACTAGTGTCACTTGCGGTGGGATCTCTGTAACCGCACTACGTTCTCGTGCAGCTACGTGTCACGTAAATCTCGTAAACGAGATCCACAAGACGTTCTTCGAATCAGGACCGATGATTTTACGCGTTACACGTGAAAAATCCACCACCAAGTGTAAAAATGCGCCAACATATACGTATAACGTGGAATGAAACCTTAAAAGCAAATCACAGATAGAACGCGATGCGAAGTGATAATCCTTGTTTCCGAATGCTCGCGGTATCGGTGCCCCTGAGTAGAGCATTACGCCGAGTTAGGTTTCTATAAATGAAATTAATGCGGAATGCGAATTAGTTCGAACGGTGCAAAAAGTTTAGCTGTTTAAAGTTACTTATAGGGTGAACGACCCTTAAACATTCTAAACGCATGAAAATTCTTCCTCTACGAAGAACATAGAGTAGCACACTTGGTTATTATTACGCGAAGAACATTGATTTTCAGAAAGGTTAAGGACACCGTGAACTGCAACCACCACGTGACTTTAACCTAACCGACCTGACGATTTATAAATATCTGCAAATTTTCCCTTGAACATTTACGCTGGACCTTTTGGACCCCACGCTCTATTGGAAAAGCCAGGCGAAAGTTGCAGTACGGATGGAAGGGAAGGATCGTTAAGTTTTCGGCTGCTTCGACCCACGTTCGAATCTCGAAGAACCCCGCCGAAAAAGGTTAAAGGAAGTGGCGAATTAATTAGAGGGGTAGCGGTAACGCAAGATGCCCGAGGTTAACGCAATTTAACAGGCTTACCTCTCTCTACTCGGTAAACCCTCTATCCCGTTAGCTTTGGCGAATGCAACTTGTGACCCACATGCAAACGACGATTAAACGCGGCTAAGCTTGCCTTTACTGTGACAACAACGACGCCGGATGCTCTTCCACGATTAACCTTTCATTCTAATTGCCAGATCTTCGATTCTGCGAGATGACGTGGCTTGTCACGAAGAAGTTGAGCTTCAACCTGTTGTTCTTTTCGCTGAGAGTGTAACACGACGAACGGACCGAGTCAATTGTTCGCGGTACTTGAGTTTACACGGAGCACACTGGTGGTGAGAAGCTAGGTACATCCTTAAACTGCTTGACCGCGACGTGTCGACTGTACATCCATCGGGCGATATCTGGCAGGGTGCATCGGGAAAGTGGTGGTGAAACCTCATTGGTCGCCATTCAAAGTTGGTTATGTCACTTTGAGAATCTGCACGCGTCTTTTACCTTGCCGCGACATCGAGTAGTTACTAAGCGGTTCGCGACGAATGTCTCGTTCATTTAGAGTCACTGCGACGATCGACGATGAATTCACGGGGCAGCGGAGTACAAGATGTGTCACGAGGACGGCACTCTTCCGTACTGCGTCCGGGTCGAGCACCTACCTCGTCGAGTCGTCATCGAGGACTCGACGCAGGCGCCCGAACGAAAGCCACCCCCTTTTACCCGCGGCCTCGACCGACGCCGCCATCCCCTCAGAGTTGGCCAGGGGGTGAACATCCGAGAGTCGAACGCTCCTACAGTGACAACGATACCTCAGGACCACCGTCCTCGAGCCAACTTTTCTACAAATCTTCCCTCCTAGTGTGTGCATCGGCTGCCGAGCGGAGGAGTAGAGGGGGATAAACGATGAAATTTCATTCACCGTGTCCAGCGTTCCAGCGTTCCAGCGTTCCAGCGTTCCAGCGAACGCTGAAATTCGCTCGGCTGGAAAGAACACGATTCTCGATGAAATGCACGTGGAATTGTTGTGAGAATGTTCCGCACTGTACTGCTACGGAATCGTGTCTGACGATGAGTAAATTTCGACGGCGGCGTAACGTCGCTCAGGTTGCACATGCGCCAGCGTCTGTCCCCATGGAAACGGGATGCGAGCTACCGCGTGTGAATGCGTATTGATTACTCCACTCTTGCTCCATTCCGCGATCTCTTGCTCCTCGTCGTATCTTCTCTTATCACCCCGCCACCCGCCCTCCACCATCTCCTCTCTGTTTTCTCTTCCCCACTCCGTTAGCTCCGTAATGTCTCCGCGCGCCAGATCGCAAATTTATCGATCCTTCTTCGATCGGTCCTCCTTCCTTTTCAACCGACAACGTATGCAGCTGTTACATATAGTTTCGCGTGAAACAAGCGCGACCGTAAATATCCAGCCGGAACAAATTATTCTATCGCAACACCGCTTTTTAAAAGGATGCACTTTGCTTTTACGCGGAGAAGAATATTTCCACGATGGAAAGAGGGAAGACGCATCCGTGACACGCTTCCTGATCTCCTTGGCAGAAAAAGAAAGCGATACATAATATTATAGCCGAAGGTTAATTAAAGCGGTCGACGACAAAAACGTACCTAAGTATTTCGCCTGAAATATCGTTTACGTCTGAAAAGACGTGTTCATCTTGCGGCGAACGTTCTTTTTCGTAACGAGGATAATTTGAATTATATCGAGTTGCGGAGAATTGGGAAATTTCACGTAAAACTGTGGTAACCCAGGGGCCCGTTAATTGAACTCTCGGCGTGACGGTAAGAATGTCGTTGGCTCACTCGTGACACTTTTATTTTCACCGGCGTGCTCCTGCGCATCTTTTGGACACGCTCCGCGATTCACAGGGACGCAACTAACCGTGGAAATTTTTCCTCCCGAATACTACCGTTCTGTTGCAACGTTCAACCTTTCGCAACGTATCTTTCGGACGAATCTAATCGAAGTGTGCGAATTTCAAGAACGAAAGAATCGTTGGACGTATCCTCTGGCGAGTACGTTAACTGATTGAAGGAAGAATGGAAAGAAAGCTGGTAGGTAGCAGGCCTGAAGGGCAGATACGCGACAATATCCGATGCGTGACCACTGTACCAAGTATAAAAAGGTGAAACTCGTGGAAAGAGTCACTTTTCTTTCTCTCGTCGAAAATGTCGCGACGATTCGTTTGCATTCTCCTAACGATCAGCCTTGTTTGCCGTGCACTTGCCGACCGTAATGAATTCGCGAGTATCGTACGCACGAGAAATTCTCTGAAAGCAGCTCGTCCGAAGAGCAACGACAGCCTGGAGGAAAGTTTGGATAAGCAACCGCGAACAACGAGTCATCGGCTGGAATCGGACTTGAGAGATAAGTCGAATATGAACAGAGCGTATTAACAAAGATATTTCACAGTTTCGAAACGTTCGTAGTATCAGGAGAAATTGAAACTTGCAAGTTCCAGTTGCTGTGGACCCAGATACGATTCGAACTCGTCCACGCGACCTGATGCCCGTTACAACAGGATCCCTGTGGACAGCAATCGATACTCGGTGAAATTTGGCGATCGTTTACCCGTCGATAGGTAGATAATCTGTTTGCGATGGAGAAACCTAAGAGAATATGTACAGTGGAAATATGAAAACACAGATACGGATGGCAAACGCAAGGACAACCGGCAGGTTCGAGCGGAAGCACTGGAAGGCCAGGGGCCGGATTCTACGATGGGAGTCACGCGGGAGAGAGGTAACTATGTAACTGGTTTACCATTCTACAATCGCAATTCTGCCTGTTAATTGAAATTTTCTCAACGTCAGATTTGGTTCTCGACCGAGTTACACTACCGATAGTCCACGCAAACCAAACGGTTATGGGAACACCGGTTACGGAGGATACGGTTTCAACCGACCGAGTAATTACGGAGGGTCAATTGGTTACGGAATTTCAGGTTCTTTCGACAACGGTGAAGAATTTGGACCTGGAGAGCCGAATTATCCGGAAGAGAATGCTCCCTCGCGTCCGAATATTCAAACGCAAAAGGTAATTAGTTCAATTGGAACGTCAAGTTTTTAACCTTTCCTCACTTTTCCTATCGTATGTGTCAGGCTGTAGCTTTAAAGGCACTAGCTGGTGTGGCTTTAATTGGAGCAGCAGCTGCTCTCGCAACGAATCCCGTGCTTCTACCAATTGGTGTTGTATCAGGCAGGAAGAAACGATCCAGTATGTCTAACAAAGATAGAGATGCGTATATGGACTATATTTTAACCTTCTTGAAAAATAACATCACAAAGGTGGTAACCTTGTTGTCGCCTGTCGTGTATTATGTTCGTGAAATGTATTTCTATGGTTGTTACACAGAATTACAACGTGGAGGATGAAAGGAAAATGTCTTTTTCTCCAGCGTGCATCGCTAGGCTTACATGTGAGATCGAGAAAGATTACTGGTTCAATCTGAGGAAGGGGATCAATTTCTCTAAGGAGAAACCAGCACTGGAACGTCGCCTTGTCGATCGGTATATCGTTTCTCCTTATTGTTCAGACTTTGAAAAGTGTTATATGTTGTGATATTACCCGTTACAGGATTTCCAATAATATTCCCAATGAAGAATTTGCGAACACGCGTATTAGAAAATTAATAAAAGCGGCAACGACTGTTGCTGCAAGCGGGAAAAGTTGCAACGTGTTTACGTGTACACTTGTGAAAGCTACGGAGACTGAACGACCCGTCATTTTCAAATTTTAGAATTCGATAAGAAAAGTACTGTAATTTAATATTCGTTTAAAGATAACAACAATAAAGATGCTGTTGTAACGCAAACTACTACGTCTATTTTTTTATTGTAAGGAAGTAAAAGGTAGAGAGAAATATAATAAGACGGAACGAGACATGTAGAGAAAACGAATGGAAAATGTTGGAGAAATAAAAATACAATAACTTACCGACGGAGCGCCTCCGAATGGAACTGAATTATGCACGTTCTCTCCGGTGGTGTACACGCTAGTAGTGGGGAGCCATTCATGCGCGCAATAGTACTCGATCAGACGAGGTACAGGATAGACAAGACATGTTATGGGTCTTGGTGTTACACGAACTGAAATACCGATATTGTAAAACAGTCCTGATTTTATAACGCATGCTACCATTACGAATGGGGATTTTTTTCAAGATTTTACAATCGTTTCGAACACTCTGCGTGGTTGATAACTGTCGTCTGCTTCCGTGCCGACTATGGTTATTCAAGAGACAAAACCGCTTTTACGCAACAAGATTTCCATTTACAAACTTCCTACATTTCTTGTATTATATTTCTCTTAAACATGAACGATGGAAAAGGAAAGAATTCAAAGGATAGAAAAAGATAGATGATTAAAAATAAAAGCATCTTCTTTGCATATGATACTTTAACTCTTGGAAACCCCAATTTAAACGGACGTAGGGGCGAGGTGTTAGGAGCAGTTAGACAGAGAAAGAAAATCTTCTTCGCATAATTAACCCAAGGATAGCGATAAAGCGTGTCCGTTTTCGGGATACCGACGAACGCCTTTTCTTAACGTTTGCTTTAGGAGTAGCGACCGAGGGTTAGTTAGTAAAAGCGGTCAAAGGGTGAAGAGCAAATTGTAAAGCAAGCGTGAAGAGAGAGAAGATTTTGTATATTATATATAGTGTTAAATAGTTTCAAGAGATTTTGTTAAAATATATTTTATTTATTGTATATTACCACTCGTGTGGTAAAATAGACTTCCCACGTGGGTAGATAAAGAAGAACGCGACCGTATCAATCCGCGAGATTAACGCGGACCTCGATCTTTTAATAGGAACACAGAATATAAACAGAGGTATTAGACAAGGAAGGCACTACTGTGCGAGAAGGATAGAGAGAGAGAACGCTTCCTATTGGCCAGCGGGCCGCCAAACTCCTCAACGCTCGAGCTACACCAAGTCGGCCAGGGATAAATCGTTAATAACTCATTAATTAGTATTACTTTGTGAACTTTTAATATTGAAGAATGAAGTGTGGACCTTCAGAAACATTCACATATAATTTTTAAGACCGTAGGTCCTTTCTATAATTAGTTATTAATTATTGTTATTAGTATTGTCAGGAACGATCCGACAGTACCTTACGGTTTTTCATTAATATCATTGTTCAGAATTAATTGCCGGTAAAATTATTATATGCATCTGAAAGGGAGCTCCTTTGGCTACATTCTCCTGCAATTTTTATTAACATATCCCTTGTGGTTCGAGAGTTATTTACTGTTCTTTGGGTGAGTATCGCACCTGTCGCATTCAAGCTTAACATATTTTCGTTATTTCAATAGATACGCGTGACAAACTATGCACTTTTAAACACGAGGAATGTATAATGGACTTTTATTTACATTCTCCAATAATTTTTGTAGCCGTATGGAGTGTGGTTTATTAGATATTAGCAATTGTTTATAACAGTTGACTATACTCGAGTACGATGTATAGGGAACACTCTCGTATAATATTTAGTAACTAGTAAACTAAACGGAATATGTTAACAAAACTTATATGGGAATGTAGCTAAAGAAGTTGCCTTTCAAACGCATATAGTTAGTTGTATGAGAATTTAGGAGAGAGCTGTGAAATTATTGAAAAATCGTAAAGACGCTCGACGGTATGCGGTATCGTTCCCGACATCCCGTACTAAATAATTAATAAATAATTATCGAAAGGACCTAGAGCTTTAAAACTTGCACGTGAAAGTTGCTGAAGGTCCACACTTCATTCTTCAATTCCAAAAGTTCACAAAATCGTAGTAATTATTGAGTTATTAATGATTTTTCCCTGGCCGACTTGACGTAGAGCAAGGGACTGTCTTACTCTGCCCGACATTAATATTAATAACTAATTATTGAAAGGTCCCAGAGCCTTGAAAATTATACGGGAAAGTTTCTGAAGGTTCACTCTTCATTCTTCAATATTAAAAGTTCACGAAATCGTCCTAATTGTCGAGTTATTAATGATTTTCCATCGACCGGCTTGACGATGCGTAAGCGACTGCCGTATCGGTCTCGGTGTTAATATTAATAACTAATTATCGAAAGGTTCTAGGGCCTTGAAACGTATACGTGAAAGTTTCTGAAGGTTCACGCTTCATTCTTCAATATTAAAAGTTCACGAAATCGTCCTAATTGTCGAGTTATTAATGATTTTCCATCGACCGGCTTGACGATGCGTAAGCGACTGCCGTATCGGTCTCGGTGTTAATATTAATAACTAATTATCGAAAGGTTCTAGGGCCTTGAAACGTATACGGGAAAGTTTCTGAAGGTTCACGCTTCATTCTTCAATATTAAAAGTTCACGAAATCGTCCTAATTGTCGAGTTATTAATGATTTTCCATCGACCGGCTTGACGATGCGTAAACGACTGCCGTATCGGTCTCGGTGTTAATATTAATAACTAATTATCGAAAGGTCCCAGAGCCTTGAAACTTATACGGGAAAGTTTCTGAAGGTTCACGCTTCATTCTTCAATATTAAAAGTTCACGAAATCGCCCTAATTGTCGAGTTATTAATGATTTTCCATCGACCGGCTTCACGATGCGTACGCGACTGCGGTATCGGTCCCGATATTAATGAATATTAAAAGTTCACGAAATCGTCCTAATTGTCGAGTTATTAATGATTTTCCATCGACCGGCTTGACGATGCGTAAGCGACTGCCGTATCGGTCTCGGTGTTAATATTAATAACTAATTATCGAAAGGTTCTAGGGCCTTGAAACGTATACGGGAAAGTTTCTGAAGGTTCACGCTTCATTCTTCAATATTAAAAGTTCACGAAATCGTCCTAATTGTCGAGTTATTAATGATTTTCCATCGACCGGCTTGACGATGCGTAAGCGACTGCCGTATCGGTCTCGGTGTTAATATTAATAACTAATTATCGAAAGGTCCTAGAGCCTTGAAACTTATACGTGAAAGTTGCTGAATGTCCACACTTCATTCTTCAATTCTAAAAGTTCATAAAATCATCCTAATTGTCGAGTTATTAACGATTTTTCACCGGACCACGTGGCCGATGCCCCGAGAGGCGGAGCATGGCGGCCCGCTAGCCAATGGGAAGCGTTCTCTCTCTCTGTCCTTGTCGCACACTAGTGCTTTCCTTGTCTGATACCTCTGTTCATATCCTGTGTTCCTATTAAGAAATCGTAGTTCCCGTCACCTAACGCGAGATGGCGTCAGTCTTGGCCGCCATTTTTCTTCTGTCCTTGTCTAATGCATTATTTTATTGCTATTCTCATCTATCGCTGTTCGTTTCCCCATCGTTTCTTGTTAAATAACGGTTTAGATGGTAGTTGATGATTATTGCAAGTCTTAAATAATATTATCGTACGCTTTAACTTGATAAAACAGCACAGAATGTTAATTTTCTAGCGTAAGTTCTAGCGGAAATTCTAGCGTAAAGTAGGAAAATTATAGAAAATTCTAGAAAAAAGTAGATTAAGCGTTAGGTCTATTCTGCACCTCGTCTCTCTGTTATTACTACTAAAATATTCTTCTTTATTCGAATACACATTACATGATTATCTCTACCAGAATATACATAGATACGTATTCACCAGGAACATTGTAAAAATACTACCAAACAAAGTCCTCCATCTCATCCCTCGTTCGGTGTGTCCTTCCCTCCTCGTCTCTCCTCCGTTCTGTCCACACGTTTCAATTGGCTGGACAGTAAATCCCATTTCGAGGACCACGACGGTTTCTCCGCTTCCTGCGTATTCACCTCCTCGATCAAATTCATCAGCCTGATAAAGAATTCATTCAACTTCGCCGCCGTTCCTCGTCGTAGCTTGGGGAAATTCTTATCTGTAGCAGAGCAATCGAATTAGCGGTACATAGATATAACTTGGGACACATTGACCAGAATTATCGATAGTAGAATATAATATAAATAGGACGGTGTGACATGGCACATAAATCAATATTTCTGGGGATCAGTTGCGTTGTACACCAGCCCCGCAGGCAGACTGTCAATCATGCGCGGAGAGACAATGCTCGTGCCTTCATGAAATATGGAAGCAACCAATTTCAGTGGTCTCTGTACACTCCGCAAACGATATAGAATTGATAAAGTCGAGGTAGGGCAAAGCAGTCTTCTCTGTCGTACTTACTCGAAGGATAGAAGCTGTTCTTGATCCAGATACTCTGCTGCGTGAGAGTGGACATAAATCTGTTGGTTATCAAGCTCTGGCTCTCAGCGGTCATCGGTCTCAAACGACTGATAAATCGTAGCAGATACTCCAGCAGATATCTGTTCCACGTGGGTAACTTTTCCAGGCATCTATCTGGCTTCGAGCTCCAAACGACGATGTAACTTAAACTGTCCACGTCTAACAGAGGATGTTTCAACGTCTCTAGCCATTCGAACAACAATCCTGACAAGATGTCTAGATCTGTTTCCATCTGGAGTCTTTGCCAGGCTGAAGATCGATGGTTCAGGTCCATCTGAGCATTTAGGAAACAACTATTCGATAACCGAGACATTCTTAAATAAAAACTAAAACTGTACCCTTCTGCACCTGATACTCCTGAAGACGTTTCTTCGTTTTGTCGGGGAAATTAGCGTTGTCTCTGATCAGAGCTCTGATTGCTTCCTCGGTGCTGACTGTATCGAAGGCTGCATTTTCTGCGGCAACCTTTAAATCGATGTGAGATTGTATCTCCTTGTAACAGTCGTTGTCTGTCAAGTCTTGGCCATGAATCCCATCGCCCAGAACGTCGTCCACGCAATTGTCGTCTAGACCTAGGTGAAAGTATCGGTTTTTATTGAATTTACCGCTGCGGTGATTGCCGCACCTGGAAACGTCGAGTCGCACGACGGAGTGTCCGGAGATGTGCAGAACACATCGTCTGAAGTGTCGGTTGAAGAAGCTTGGCTGCCAGTTGCGCAAGCTTTAGACGTGGAACCTGCGTTATCAGAAACAATCACCACTAACGAACACCAGTGGCGGAAGAACGGCCTTCGATTTCTTACCGGAACATTCGTAGGAATCGGCGAGAGAATCAGAATCAGCCCACGAGTAACAGTGTCTGATATTTCCTTTTCCGTCTCTCAGCTTCTCCAGCACGTGAGACATGAATTTCTGCGTGAAAGACGTAGAGGAGACCGCGTATCTGATCTCGCAGGGTGAATTGTCCTCCTGACAGTCGCACAGTTGGAGAATTCGTTCGCAAATCGTGAATACGACCTGGGAGGCGGATTATTCGTGGATAATTGGTTAAGAAATGTGAAATTTCGAATGTTCGATTGTGGTTAAGGTGGAGGAACCTTTGGAATGTGTTTGAATGTACGTTGCTCGTATCCGTGAAGAACGTTGTGTTGCTTCTTCAAGTGTGACTGGAAGCTGCAAGGTTTGCGCTCGCCTATTGCACTGTTCAGAGGGAAAACGATCATCTGAGGAAGTACGAAGTGCTCGAATTCCTGGATGCAGAGTATCTGACCACGGGTCTGTATCGCCGACGGTCGCTTCATGCGAACGAATCGTATCGCGTCGTTCGCTCTTACACGAAGGCTGTAAATAAGGTAGCACGCGATCAGAACGCCTGTTCTTCCGAGCCCTGGAAAAAGGTATCTGTGTTTTAAGCTTGTCCAGAGCGTTCGTCTGATTCAGTGGCAGATGTTTCATCAAATATTTCACTCTCTCCTTACCGTTACTATTCAAATGTCCTGCAATCGATAATATAAAAATTTCAGTTGAAACCACTCTCCCTTGAAATGTTAATACCGAATATCAGCGCCTGTAATATTAATCACAGACCGCGAGTGAAATATTTATGTTTGAACAGTCTCAGTCTTATCGATCGGGTGCCTAATTCGAGAAATAAATTGCTCGTGTTCGTGCTCGAACGCACGAATCGGAAGCGGAACTCGTAATCGTTGTAATAACACGCGACAGTAAGGATGTTTCGTTGGTGTTTCACGGCCGGTTAACGCATGCATATATGCAACGTCTGTAATTAAGTTAGACACGCGTGGAATCTCAATTGAAATCGCCGGCTTACACGAAGGATTCCACAAATCGTTCTCCGCTCGTAAAAAGGAAAAGATAAAGCTTTTTTCCATAATACGCCTCTCGATGGTACGATTGTTTCTACAAGGTGAAGTGTTACGCCCTAATTCCTTATCACCCTTTATCTAGTTTTCGTGCACAGAAATTCGGTTAAGGAATTGAAGCCGCTGGAACGTTTATGGTTCGGAGACACGCGCATCCCCAATTAGGGAACTTCCTTCCTATCGGCTATACGCCGATACTCGGGTAAACATTTCGAATATTTCGTTTCAGCACACGAGACGTATCATTTTTCTGACCATCGAAACAGTTCAAGGGGGATGGTATGCATAATGAATGCAAAAATTCAGATGCACCGGGGTGGACGCGGCGTGTTGCAGCACGCAATGCACCAAAACATGTTTCACACGCGCCTTAGATCGATACATTTAGAGGTTACAAATAGCTGATAAGAGGGAACGAGTTTGAACGAAGAGGATCGCGATTAAATCGCGCGGAGAAAGAGAAATTTGGTGGAAATCGATTTACCAGCGTGACAATGGATCGCCACTCTTCCTTCTTGCACCGCAAACGCCACAACCTTGACCATGTCCAGAAGTTTGCTCATGGTCGCGTCCCCGTAATCCTTCAGCGCGAAATTGTAATAGTAAACTGGAACAGATACGCGGAGTCGCGAATTTTCAGACCTCGAGGCTGGAATTTAGGGCAAGCTGGAAATGGTTTGGAAACTTTTCTTTCTCAACTCTGTGCCGAAGCTGATTTCTGCTGCTTCTATTATTTCATAAAAGTTCATTCTCTTCTAATTGCTACTAATTAGGATTGTACATAAGCGATCATTTCTCTTAAGTTCCTATCGGGAAGTTTTCCAAGGTGTTCTGTCCATGTTTTAATACCTACTGCCATGTTTCATGAAGACGTTAGGGTCGTAAGTGAAGCCGCTTTCTTCGAGGGGGCCACCGCAGCTCGCATGCTCCCCCGGCGTTTGTAGGTTTATTATGGTTCTTATACTCCACCCTTGAAACTGTGCAATTATGTCCTTTTTTATGATCTGCGCGGTGTTCGGTCGTGCCATCGCGAGAACGTCGTCTGTCACCCTGAGGAATTTATCAACTTACGTCTTACTTACATCTTCGTTAAAATTCCTCGATTTCGCAACAGAAAAAGAATCAACAGAAATTCACCGCATATTCGGTAGAATTTGGTGGAAAATCAATGACTCGTATATTCATTCACGACATATGTATCAGATCACGTGACGAAAGAAAGAAAGATATTATCGAGTCGGTCTGCTTTTCATAAACTTCTATCGCAGATCTTACCAATGCGAAAAGATGTTCTGTATTGCCATGTGCACAGGCGGCCAGGCTTTTGGGTTTTCATATTTGCACCTAGAACCGCCGCAAAAGATCGCGCACTGTATCGCCTGCGGCGTGAATTTCCGCAAATTCTCCGAGAACTTATTGTAACCAGCCTGGACCTCGCACAGATCCACTTGGCCCGCTTGAAAACCCGCCGGTACCAGTGAACTTACATCCATTCTAGAATTTTCAACAATTGCTTTAGTTCTACAGCTTCCTGCTGTAATTACAAAAAATTCTATATACCAATATAAACGATTAAAGAATTGACTTACATGTTTAAAAATAGTCACGTCCCTTCCGCCCATCTCATTGCCGTGCCAATTTTGAATTTTCTCGAAAATCCCTCTGTACTCTGAAAATCCCAACGTCAGACACGTTCGTTAACTCGAGTAAAATCTTTCTCCGCCGATTTTCTTCTTTGCGCAAGAAAGCACGACAGAGCGTAACAACCAATGCAAAAAAGCACTTTACGTACAGGGGTGAGCGCATAGCGACTGGTAGTTCCGCTACCGTAACGCTACCTTATCTATCGCTCTATCACACTGATTGCGCCTGCGTTGCTTCTAACGCCAACAAAACCCACCCCTGCTGTATATACTTACTTCAGTACTTCACTGTTCGCTACAGTATCCCTTCGAACAGCTGAAGAACAGCTTACACGAATTTTCGGAGCTCGGATTTTATGGCAGGAGAGTAGTTTAACGAGAATTCTTGGAAAATCGGAGAATTGAAATTTTTGTGGCACGGTAGAAAAATTTCGTGAAACTGGGGACTATAAGAGTTGACTCTCGAAATTCTCACTTTCCAAGTACTTTCATACATCATTTATCTGTTTGAATAAGAACAACGCAATCGGAGTAAAATCATTTTGGAGTAAAGAGTCCCCTACTTCTGAAAATGAATACAATACCCAACCAAGTTATCTAAAAATCCATCAATCCTTCGTTGCTCCTCTCTGTAAAATACAATTCTACATTGTACATAAACGCGCTATGGTATTTAAACGCGCAGGTCCTTTACCGCGTATCATTTTCCGCTCTACCGAGTAACAATCCATTACATACTCAACGTTCTAATTTCACGCAGCAACATTTACATTTCTCGATTCAACAACGATAATAACTACACCTGCGATAGAAAAGAAATTCTCGAAACGTGCAAAGAGAATGTGAGTAAAACTCACGTCTGGGGAATTCTCGGAATCCCGTGGCGCCAATACGGCTTCCCTTCGCTCCTTTGCGAACCGGATTTAAAGTTAGGCAGCCGTTTCTGAATGGAGCCTAACCGGTTGGGGTAGACGTGGCAGCAGTTCGCTGTGCGTCGTTTCATGTGAAACGTCTAGGCTGCCGGCGATACCGTAGGTAACCGCAGCGCAATGGATCATCGGTTATAGACAGGTTTAGATAAGATTATTTCGAGTGTGTTCAAGTCGTATTAATTTTCAACGGTACGTTGGAACGCGTTGATTCGATAAAGCGGCGGCTAAGATGTCCGGCTTCGACGAGAATCCCTTCGCGAAACCGAGTATCGACGATCCCTTCTCGGTGAGTATTTTAATAGCGGTTCTCAGGCGACGAGCGAGCGTATTATCTCGTTCAGTATTGCATGTAAAACTGTCAAACGATGGTAAACGTGTCTAACCGAGCGGTGAGATTTTTTCGCCACGACCACTGGCAAAGTTTCCTCAGGCGAACGCGCGATATCAATTATTCAACATTTATAAACCTCTCGTTAAACATTTTTCGATCGACGTTCAGAAAAGTATCCTCTGATTGTCGCCTCGAAATTTATACGCTAAACGGACATCTATTCGATAAAGGGAATTCTCTGAATTGCTGTTCACTCTATATATGGTCATCTTCTATAAATACACGTTCTTTTTGCATTAACATATGAGACAGTTTTTATTTATTCTCTCTCTCTCTCTCTCTCTCTCTCTCTCTCTCTCTCTCTCGTATGTGTAATTGTTGCATAAAACGGGTAGGAAATATTCAATGATTTTTTTTCTTCCCTTGATCAATCCAGGATCCTGCAATAAGGAGTGTTGTGTCTGAATCGATCAACAGAGACCTGGAGAATTACAATCCGTTCGCAGAGCAAAGTACCCAAGGAACTCAACAAGTCAGAGGTGCGTCAAATCCTCCAATCTATGGAGGGATCGGAGCAACACAGCAACCAGCAACATTGCGGCCCTCGAATCAGGAACCTCCAGCTACCAATTATGCACGTACACCACAGCAAACAGTGAATGCAACACTTGGAAGCACAATGCCACTCACATCAGATGTAAATGTACATGAAATTTCATGTCTCATAACTGTACTGCCATGAAACCTAATCTTCTGCTATGTTCTGTTTGAAACAAAAAAAAATCGCTACATTTTAGCAAAGACCAGAGCCAGAACGGAAAGCGAGGGCAGAGGAGGATATTAGAAGTGAGTCCGTTCGTGAGTAGAATTAATCAACGTTAGATATATTTCATAGAATAGCTTTTCGATCGTCGTATATCGATCGAAAATTTCTTGTACCATTGTAGCAAAAAGGAACTGGCCACCGTTACCTGACAAATGCTGCTTCCAACCCTGCTTCCACCAAGATATCGACGTGGAAATTCATACAGACTTTCAGAAGGTAGTCAGGCAATTGTACCATCTCTGGATGTGTAAGTTTAATATTACACTAAGATCTATTTTAACGAAAGAAACGTTCGCGAAAGAAGTAATCATTTACCAATTACAGTTCACGGCTGTGTTTTAATTCTGAACGTTATCGGTGGATTCGTCCTGATCCTGTGTAACGGAAGCTTCTCAACATTCGGTCTCGGAATACTGTATCTTATACTCTTCACTCCGTTCTCGTTTTTATGCTGGTTCCGGCCAGCTTACAAAGCTTTCAAGTACGTATTTTATCGGTGCATCGATGTTTTCGCTGTTAAACGATATTATTAAACGATTAACGTGTGTATTTTAGGACCGACAGCTCGTTCAATTTCATGGTATTCTTCTTCGTGTTTTTCTTTCAATTGATCGTGACAGCGATCCAGGC